CGCCGGATCGCTTGTATTTAAAAAGGAGAACTATGAGGTCAGTGTTTTTCACTCATCCTCATAGTTCTAGCCGACCTGTGACAATGAGACTGTCACAGGTCCGCTCAGTAGATCAGGAAGGGAGCAAACACATACCGGTGTTCGCTCACTTCTCGATCCTTGCACGGCAGAGAGATGTGACAGGGGAGGGACTGGATTTCCCCCCTCCCCGCTCCTCCAGCGCTGACTGGCGGAACGGACGGGGGAGGGGGAGGGTACAGCTGGCTGTGCCTCTAGATAGGCAGAGCCAGCTGTCACTCACACAGCTGGGCGGATCCAGACATAATTGTCGGGATCCGTTTCAGCTGCGGCGTCTCAGTATACCGCGATCTGTAGCTCGCGGTATACTGAGCTTAGGGTAACGGGAGGACGCTAGTTTGTGTCCTCCCGTTACCCTTAGGAGAACTATGGGGAAAAGCCCTGACCCCATAGTTCTCCTTTATTAAACAGCAATCGTCTGCTGTTTAACACGGTACCAAGAACATGGCTACAGGAGCAGCCGTGTTCTTGGTATAACCACTTCCAGCGGAGGACGTACATTTGCGTGAACCTGCGGGAAGTGGTTAAGAAAAACCACACACGCATAATGAAACACGCACATCTACACACTCATTAAAAAACACACACAGCCACACGCTCATTAAAAAACACAAACATAGCTTCATTAAAAAAAAAGAAAAAAAAAATTACACACACTCATTAAAACACACACACATTAACAATTCAAATAGTTATTTAAAAAATGTCCCCCTCTCCTGCTTACCTGTTGTGCAGGAAGGGGGGCTGCATCCCTGGGTCCAATGAAGAATCAGTGTGATCTGCACTCTGACTGATGCAGACCATACTAATCGCTCCCTGATAGTCAGCGGCGGAACCACGAGGGAGCAATCAGTATGATCTGCATCAGCAAGAGATGCAGATCATACTGATTCTCCACTGGACCACCAAGGAATGATCTTCATTCAATATATTGCCTGTTTGGCAATACATTAAATGAGATATGGGCGCTTGCCAGGTTTAAAGATGGCCGCCTAGAAGCAGTTTAGCAGCCCGCGTAAGATTTGCTTTGAGGCTTGACAAAGAGGTTGTGCCTCGAAACGCATAGCCGTTATTTCTGCGAGAGCCTTCACCCCTCCGCCACCTCGCACTTTCCTCCCTGTCTAGGACGAGTCACACCGCTGAGACACCAGCCAGACGATACCTGCGGCACACACGGTGCCTAGTACTTTACAGCCGTTCGCGGCTCCTCTCCCTTCCCAAGCCACCGCGGCTCGGCCTGTCCAGCTGAGTACGCGGGCTGATAAACTGCTTCACAACGCCCCCAGACCTGTCACTATGCACCCTGGTAGCCATCCATCCTTGGATCTAGGCTCCTCCCCCAGGCATCAGACACTTAGATGCCAGGACTTCTGCTGACACACCAGCCGTCTCCCAACTGTAAATTCCATTTCTTTACACAATACCAGTGATCAGTTTTTTAGGGTAGTAGCGTTCCTACAGTTTGTTTGTTTTATGTATTGATAGGCAGGGTCCTCTCCCTGTTTTTAGGAGGTTGCACACCAATTATCCCAGTTCACACAGTGACCACTAAACAATTGTGCGCTTATTATATTATATTATATAAGACTAGTTCTAGTCTTTTGTTTGTGACATACACTTTACAATCTGTGGACATTTGAATGCAATTGGAAAAACTCTGAAAGAAATTGTGATGGTTGGTTTATTTGTATTGCAGTGCAAGCTTATCAAGTGTGCAGTATACATGGATTGTGACATTGATAATGAGCTAAAGTAGAATGATTAAAAGACATGCTTAATTTAAGATGAAAGCTGTTCAACATACACAAATTGTTGGTTCTTACCATTAGACGGATGTGGTCAGTACACTGAACATCATGCCGCATCAACATGAACCTCTATAAAAATAAATTCAAAACCTCTGGGGTGACCACTGAACTGCCGTCAAATGAATTATTGAGAAAAGGAAAGCTGACAGAATACTGACTGCAGGAAACCTCTTCACTACTGACATACCTTTAATAAAGCCAGAGCAGAGGACATGTATTCCTGGAGTGCCGTCTATAAACAGCACTTCACAGAACACACTTCATTGGATGGCTCAGATCGCAGGCACAATGTACAGAGCCAATCAGAGCAGCTCGGTACTTTGTGGTTGCTGTCCAAGACCAATCACAGCAATCACAAATGTAAACACTATAGACAGCCCTCTTCTCCCTCTCACAACAGCGGACGTGGAGGAAGTGAGGATTTGTGAATGAAGATTTACCCCACATTCCCACCTGTGTGTTACGTGAGCACATGCCACATTCGTGCACACCCGTGTGCATTTGTGCATGATCCCGTGTTGCATTTACCGTATGTCCCCATTGACCTCAATGGGGCCTGAACGCGTGTCACCGTGGCAAAAAAGCTAATGTAGCAGAATTTGCAACACATGTTCTGCGCTTTGTGCTTTTTGAGCAAAAATGCGCATCTTCCTGGCCGCATTTGGGGTGCTATGGGAAATGTCTGGCAAAGCAAGCGCAGTCTGCCGCATTTTCGTCAACCTGCCCCAAAGTGTGTGCTTTTGTGCACACTTGGCGTGCATTCACGAAACACGCAGGTGTGACTGTGGGTTTATGGCTGAAGGTATCAGCCTCAGACTCATGGTGAGGGTTGTAAACGACTGTGGGGTTTATTTTTAACCCTTTCACCCCCCTACATCTCAACTCCATGCTACCTCTGCGTGACCTGTGACTCCTTCACCTCTCTCGGCTCTAACTCAACCTCATAGTTAGAGCCGACGTGCGTCATTGAAACTGTCACACGTCGGCTCTATTGATCAGGAAGTGTGCGAACACATACCGTCGCTCGCTCACTTCCCGATCTTCTCCCTACAGAGAGCCATGACTGTCACGGCTCCATGCCGGGATTCCCCCCTCCCCTCTCCGAACAGCGCTGAGTGGAGGAATAGACGGAGGAGGGCACAGCCGGCTCTGCCACTAGATAGGCAGAGCCAGCTGTCAATCAGCCAGCTGGGTGGATCTCAACAGTATTGTCAGGATCCGTCCCGGTTGCAGTGCTCTCAGTATATGGTGGGCAATAGCCCGCTATATACTTAGCTTTGGGTCATGGGAGGACGTTAATATATGCTCTCCTGTGACCCTAAAGAGAACTATGGGGTAATACGGTTACCTCATAGTTCTCTTTTAAGCATAAGCCCTGAAGGCCTATTCACACTTGTGCTCTTTTCAGTGACGTGTTTCCATTGAAATTAACGAAAACTCATCAAGATGCATGTTAAGAAGCACGTCAATGCACCAAGTGAGACGACATGATGTAGTGATGTGCGTTATGATGTACAACGACATGCAGTACATTGCAAGGTGCAACAATATACAGTAATGCACGTTGAGTTTTTATTGATTTCAATGGGAAAATGCATGTGTGTTAACAGGTCCCATTCACATAGTTGTATTGCAGTTACACACCTGGAGGGGGGGGAGAAATGTATCAAAACTGGAGCAGACAGAAGTTTGGGGTAGTTGCCCGTAGTAACCAATCAACCCAATCAACTACTTTCTTTCATTTTCAAAATTTAACTGAAGAGATAAGCTGATTGGTTACTTTGGGCAACTGCCCCAGTTTTGATAAATAACCCCC